GGGCAGTGACCCAGACACTCTCGGCTTCCGAAAGGGGGCCCCCCCTGCGTGAATCGGGAGACACGATTTACTTACAGCAAAAGGCGCAGAGCTCAGCCCAAGTAACCACCACCCAGACGAAGATACAGAACCTTCCAGCAACTTGGCGGGGGGCTCCTGAGCACCCCTCAGGGGAGGGCCGGGCATCCCCACAAGGGTTCTAGCTGGGGGAGCAGCATACCGTGTGGACAGATGTAAGCAAGTCAAGGTTCCCACCCGGGCTGTGAGGGTACAGGCTCTCAGCAGGTGCGGGGCCGGGATGTGAACTCAGATCTGAAGGTGCCAGCCGGTGAGCGGCGCCCCCCACTCGGCCCCCACTCGGCCAGCACAGACGGAGGCGGATGGGAGGCTCCTGCTAGCAGGGGAGGGCGTGGGAGCATTGGTCGTCGTTGATAAAGCACCTCTGTGTCTAGCTGGTCGCCACCGTTCTGGAAGACGAGTACCAGGACTCCGATGGATGTGTGGATGTTCAAAACGTAGGGAGGGGAAGTGACCTGCCCCAGGCGGTGGCCTGAGGGAGACGGCTGGGAGGGGACCTGGGGGGCACCCTGGGAGGGGACCCTTCTCTTCCCACCACCCTGCCCTACCCCTCCCTCTCTTCCTCCTGACTCTGTCCTGCAGAATGAGACCTGGTCGTGGAGAGGAAGGGAGGACACACAGAGAGGGGCTCAGGGTCCCCCGAGGGCTCAGCACGGCCATCTCAGCCATGCAGGGGGTCTGCGGAAGACAGTGCCGGGCACACAGGAGGCGCTTGATAAAGGCACAAGCCGAACCCCTTCCCTCCCAGAGGTACGTCCCAGCACCAGCCTGTCTGGAGCAGGACACGAGGGGCCTGTGACACTTACTTGGTGGCAGGACTCTGGGACCTGGGCAGTGACGGCCATGGTAGGGATTACAGGGGTCACTCTTCTGCACGTGGCCCCGCGTGGGAGGAGGGGAGGGTCCCAAGGTCTCTTGGGCCAAAGAGAAACAAGGTGGTGCTGCCTTCACCTCGGAGTGACCTCATCTCCTGACTCAGTTTCCCCATCTCTGTGACGGGGTCACCACTGTCTAGGGGGGTGGTCAACCAGATCACTGGAAGACATCTTTTGAACTCGACACTGACCGCCCAGGCCTAGGGCAGGGGGTGTGGTGGGCGTGGTGAAGGCCTGGCTAAGAGCATCCCACGCGTCACCTGCTCTGACAGCACCCACCGTGGCATCTCCAGGCCCGTGCC